TTTATAATGTGTTGTTTTCCTTTTTTGAAAAAAAAAGATTTTTTTTTTGTACAATTTAGCATATGCACAGATAGATATATATGTACAAACTGGAGACAAAGTTGAGTTGAAATGTCCCTATCCATCCACTTCATCATCAACAACTTGGTTTGGTCCTCAAGTTGTCTCTCCGATTTCAAAAGGAAGCAAATTATATTGGAATACAGACGATAATCGGATAAGTATCCGTGGTAATCAAAGCATCGGGGAATATAGTCTACTTATAACAAGATTAAGGATATCAGACCTAGGAATATTTAGATGTTCTGTAAATATAGATGACATTTCGTATCAACAAGAATTCAGTGTTATTCAAGGGAGTATGTATTTATTGTACAGTAATTGTGCAATTAGATAAGACGAAAATTAACAAACGAATAAGCAATAATCAATTAGATATAAACAATCATAAAAATACAGAGAAAATAAAGAAAAATTAAAAAGTTAAACACAAACAAACATATATTAAACCAATAAACGGTCTGTTTATAATAGGACTTCATCGAAATGCAAAACAGAAACACATTATACATTTTTTCATCGAATGAATAAAAACTTTTTGGAGAGGTTGACATACGTTTTATTATTTGGCGAAATTTTGCTTCCCTGTGTTTTTATAAGACCATATTTGTATGGTAAGTTTGACATTTAAAATAAACCTACTGCAAATAACCTATGCATTGTTTTGTTACCGGTTATCATATGCACAGACAGATGTATATGTACACATCGTAGAAAAATTTGAGTTGAAATGTCCTTATCCTTCCACTTCATCCTCAACAACTTGGTTTGTTTCCGATTAGATTAATTCTTCTTAATATGCAAAGGCTCTGTTAATATTTTGGGAACATGACTGTCAAATATTCAACATATTCATCATTTAACGGAAAACTGACTTCTGAAAGAGATACGAAAAATACCAAAGAGACATTCAAATTCATAAGTCGAACATAAACTGACAACGCAATGGAAAAAAAAGAAAACGACCAAAAGAAAACAACAGTACACAAAACACAACATAGAAAACAAAAGACTGAACAACACGAACCCCGCCAAAACCATGGGGTGATCTCAAGTGCTCCGGAAGCGTAAATGATAAATTTTGAAATTGCAACAACCTTTTCATGACAGAGGAAAGAAAAGACAAGACTGTTGTCTGTATAACCTCAAATAATTAAAAGAAACAACAAAACCAAAGGTAAAACTAAAGCAAGAGCAATACGAACCCCTTTAAAACAAAACAACAAGTATTATCATATGCTATGCTCCGGAAGGGTAAGCAGATGCTACTCCATATGTCGCGCCCGTCGACTGCCTCATGTAAGTACATTGACTGTATATTATCCACAGAAGGTTCTTTGTTAATTAAAGGCGATGAGAGTTTAACAAATAATTGGTCAACATTCGAGAAGTGTGATTGTATTGATAAAATCCATAAGTAATAAAAAACAATTAAAAAAATCAAACGACCTAAACTTTTATTATTTTCGAATTTCAAATATAATAAAATGAAACATTCACATGTATTTTCGAACACATAAGTCAAGTCGCGCTTCGAGATGGTACCACTGTAATTCGTCTATTATTTATTATTTTAGGACCGCCTAAAGATCTTAAAATACTCAATGTTCAAAGAGATAACACCATAACCGGAACAGAAGGCACAAATCTAACATTACAGTGTGAGGTAGTAAGCGGAATACCTAAACAACTATTGGAATGGGTGCATAATGGGGAGACACTGAAGGAAAACAGAACAGGTGTTTTAAATGTCACCTTTACACCAAAACACACAGATCATTTAAGTCAGTTAACCTGCAAAGCCACAAATTCTGCTTTGGATGTGCTTCTAGTTCGAAGTGTAACAATTATTGTATTTTGTGAGTACTTTGTAAATTTCTAATATTTTGTCTCTTACACATTCCATCAGTAATATAAAAAAGACGGGGGAAACCAAAGTGAATATTAAAACACATAAGTCGAAGACCAAATGACAACGACATGGCAAAAACACAAACACAACAGTCTATCAAGCATAATAAAGAAAACCAAAGACTGAACAACACGAGCCAATTAAACTGGCTTGGATTGAATTTCTCCGGAAAGGTAAGCAGATCCTACTCCACATGTGCTACCAATCATGTTGCTCATGTGATTACAAATCCGATGACCACTCTTGTTCGGTGATGTAACATTCTAGGAAAAGATAAAGAGGATGACTACGACAACTGGAACATATCTATTGTCAAATGTGAAAGCTATCAACCAACTTGGGAAGGCGTCCATAAACTTTTAGAATGAATGACTTTAGAACTTGTCCATTAGATTTGATTTGGCCATTGTAAGCAACAGTATTCTATCAAGAAAATCATGACAGGAAACGCAATTTCTGGAATATCGTATAAATTTGGAGATATGCATGATATATGATCCATGTAAGGCGCTGCTGGAATGTTGGATTATATGGTCTTGACTGACACTTATTTTAAATTTCTAGATGAGGGTCATGAAATAAAGAAGCCGTTTATAACTATATCTGTGGTATCCTCTATTTCAAGTCCGATAGGATAGATACGTAATATTCAAAGAGAACGTTAAAAATGTCATGCTGTCACCCTTTGTTCTTGTCCCCTGTAGTACAAAATTATAAGCCTGGTATATTTGATGAATTGTATTATACACAACATCATTACATCAACGATAACGAGTTTGAAAAAAAAACTGTTTTTAATGCAACGAGCAATGCGGCAGATGCGTGTAAAAAAACATTTGTAAAATTTTATATTCATTCGAATTATAGTTTGCGCTTGACAATCTAGCTTCATAAGGCGTGCAGCTCTTTTGGTGATTACTGATAATCACAATAAATCGTGATAATATCATGCATATATGCTTGTCAACAGTATATATTTTGTCGATCTTTGTTAATGCGTTTTTGCATCTGTCTATAAAGACCTTATTTATCAAATCTGTTCATCATACTGCAACAACTCTTTTCTAATGTCCGTAAATTTGTTTTTGGCTTTGACGTTTTTTCATCAATACATACTGATAATTTTTATACCTGTTCACTTTGTTTTATTTTATTCCTCATAATGGATATTATACCTTTCTCTTGATACGGGAAATATCTTGGTGCTGATAATGTGAGCTAAATCGCAGTTGCTTGGTTTTTTTTTACATTTCCTCACCGGGTTTGATTAGAATGATAAGTATGAAAAGAGAGATCAGATTTGGAGTGTGGATAGAACAACAAAAAAAAAAAGAATGGTTAAAATCTGTAAATCATCCGTTTAACAGTTACTATGATAATATCAATCAAAGATATACATTTATTTATAAACAATTTATATGTGTTGCCTAATCATGAATTCGTCACTACGATGGGGTAACTCTGCTTTTAATGCTGATTTGTTTTTCAGCTTTGTTTGAAGTAGACTCTGTTTAATCTACTTTGCTAACCAATTTCAACAACATGGTGACGAGTTCTCATTACATGAACAACTGGTGTTAATATTTTTAATCATAACTGAAGTTAGAAAATAAAAATAGATTGTTAATTATAAGACTCATTTACATTATAATAAAGGAAATTTATTTGTTTATGCTTGTACACAAATAAAATCCCCCCTCCCCCAAAAAATGTTTTTATTCCTTTAGAATGATTAGGATATTTTTTTTAAATATTTAACTGATGATTTATTTTCATTGTAAAGATGCCCCACGAGTATATTTCGACAAGAAAGAAAAATCAGTGAGCATTATAGAGGGTCACCCACTTACAATTAGATGCAATGGTAATGGTTATCCAAATCCTGATAATTTTACATGGACAAAGGTAACGGATGTGTCTGAAAATTTGATTTCCAAATTAGCAACTCTATTCATTAATAATATGAAGAGATCCGATGCTGGAAAGTATGCATGTGGTGCATCCAACATTATAGGAATAGGACGAAAAGAAATAGATGTGCTTGTAATGTGTAAGTGTCTATCATTACGAACATGTGAATGCATTTTAAAATATGAGCAGTATATCATATTGGTAAAAGGGTATGCAGTTAATTATAAAGTTTTCATTTTTTAGGTTGCAAGGTTATGCATTAACTTATTGACTATCAACACAGTACATATTACTATGTAAACAAACCGTGACACAAAAATGCTCGTAAACTGATATAAATGTTAAATGTTTTCATTGAAGTTTTTCAAGTTACTGTATGCGTTTTCCAGCAGACAGTCAACGACATACCTGCATCACTATCGTGTTGGTAATCTGATAGCTTACGTCTTCTATAGTTACATACCAAAACCTCCATAGTAGGTTAGGGCTTTGAACATATGGCAATCAAAACCTATACAAATCCGTATTAAAGGCTACACAAAACTAAACACTTATGAAATTCCTTTATTCTTACTTTAATAGTAATTGGTGTTATTCTCTTATATAAGCCACACAGATGAGAGTGTTTGTACGAGTTTCCCATTACAGACAAAACATACTTTTGTTTAATATATACTTAGACAATCGAAGTATATTCGTAACCGTGTATGTTACAACAACCACAAGTCTTACATCATATAATCTATCATGTATATAGGCGATTAAAAATAGAATTTATCACTGAAATTTTGTTGATTCAAATTATCTAGTTTTATTTTATTTGTTTATTGGCATGTTGAGTTATCATACTTAACAGAATTATGTTTCGTGTTTGTATATGATAAAACATGCTTGGAAAAAAAGACTAATTACATTTACTTTGAGTTAAAAAGATGTTTATCACAATATTGAAAATAATTATTTACATTCTCAATTGAAATTAAAAATTGAAAGAGTAAAGTGCTTATAATAAGGCTCTTTCAATTTTATTTTATTCAACTTACTGTCAAAGGGTTGATACATGTTTAACTAAATTTACTTTAGAATAACAATTGGTAGTATTTATTTTCAGATGCGCCTGATGTAGATATTCAATACAAAAACTACACCGATGAAACAAAGACAAGACTTTTGATATGCAATGCAACTGGAATTCCCAGCATATACAATTTCCATGATTGGGAACATACATCTGATTATGGTGACCACATACGTTTTCTTTCCGGAAGTAAAGATGGTATTCTGTATTTACCAGACAATGTCAAGGACAACAAATATCAAGACAATGGGTATTATAAATGTACAGTGGACAACAACATCCCCGATGTAAATGGCAATATTAAACAAAATGCTGAAGTGTATTTAGACGTGAAAGGTATGTTTTGATGTGCATGTTCTGTCTTTGGATATGTTTGCTTGCTTTATAAACCAATAATAACGGAAATGGTTTATTGATTTGATAATATTCATTAAAATCGTATACCGTTTTATGTTTTGTACATATTAACTGTTAATTTTTGTCAGACATACAGCGGATGATTTTCCATTTATTTCTCAAATATTGGTCTCTTATTTTATCTTTTATGATGAAATTTCTTAACAAAAAGCTTGTTTTCACAACAGATGTCTTTAAAACACATTGTTATTGCTATGTGATCACATTTTGGGACTTGACAAAACTAAACAAACTTCAATATACAAATATGATTAATGTATTGCTAAAGGTAAGACAATGATATTTGATCCTCTCTGTACAAATTCAGCAAAATTATGCATTACCAAAATATGAAATTTTGGTTGGTATTAACTGCTTTACTTGCATGGTATGTTCTTATGAAAACTAAACAATTGTGATGCAGACATAAAACAAAATACAGAGCAAGTATTTATTTTTATTTCTGAGATTATCTCCCCAAATTTTATTTTAAAGTATATTAACCACAGTATTGTTGCATTTCCTTATTATAAAGGAGTTTCAACATTGTAGTTGATATGCAATTAATAGCAAATTGGTCATCAGTTTATTAGTATAAACAATTCCTGTAATGAAGTTGTTTTGTTGCATGAGACGGTATTACATACATCAATCTTATACTGATATATATATATATATATATATATATATATAACATGTATAAAAGAGGGACGAAAGATACCAGAGGGACAGTCAAACTCATAGATCGAAAAAAAAAAGACAACGCCATGGCCAAAAATTAAAAAGACAAACACACAAATAATAGTTCAGATGACACAACATAGAAAACCAAAGACTAAGCAACACTAATCCTGCTCCAGATGTGGCACCCGTCAAAGTTTTAAATATAAGTTTCGTTGTCAAATTTCATGTGACGTATGTTAACTATTTTTGTAGGCAAACCCGTTTTCGTCATTGATAGCACTTATACAATTTATGGCGAATACTATCAGTCCGTCTCCGTAGCTGTCAACATCTTTTGTAATCCGAAGTATACAACTTTAGAAATATTCCATAAAAATGATATCAATTCTGAATCAAACCTAAAGGTGATAGAAGATTACACATCTGTCATAGATACTTTTCATGGAACAAGAGTTCATATCAAGGGATACCGGATAACAATCAGAATTGGAAATCTCACTGATGAATTCTTAACGGAATATACATTAAATGTAATGAACGCTTTTGGCCAAAGTCAACATAGATTATCAGTGCTTCGAGCAAGTAAGTAATTTGCGCTTTTTCTAAATGGTTTGCATTTATTAATTTTTCATGCTTTTTTAAGTACCTATTTTGTTTATCAGCTCTTCAAACGTTTGTATTAATGTTTGATTTTCATATATTTCATCTTCGAGCGTCACACTGGAAAGACATTAATTGTCGAAATGCGTATCTGGTGCTGGAAAGATCGATATCTGATAAGGTAATTACACTGAATAGGTCGAATGACTATCGTAAAAACGTTTGATAGACATCGATTGAAACGGGTGCTCTCTTTGTTGTATTTGTATATTTATATAACACCACATAGAGTTTTATACCGTATGACTGGTTTACATGGGCTGTATAGGCTGCAATAAATGCCTGAGATAGTCTTCTTTAAAATGGTCGATTGTGATCAAAACATTTGACAATTTCATCCAAACAAGTGCCAATCATTGTAAAAACAACATATTTGCCATTATGGAAGGATAGTACAAATTTAATTTCATTATACCTAGATGTATGTTGTATCTGCGGGAAAAATAAGGTGATTTTGTAAATAGATAGCATGTCGAAATATTCATTCACACACCATTATCAACTTAAACAGTCTGCAAAAGCAATAACTGTTATGACATAAGAAGTATCTTATTTTAGGTCCTCCTGATACGCCTTTAAACGTTGCCTTAATGCCTGTGGCAAATGACGTGAAAATAGAATGGAATCCAAACTTCAATGGTGGATTTCAACAATGCTTTTTTATAGAATATCGTGACCAAGACAGTACAATATGGATAGAAGTGCAGGCATTCAATACAACCACCAATGCTGGAGCTTCCTGGACAGTTCACAATCTGAAATTCGGTCGATCGTACATCTTTAGAATGTTTGCCCGAAATAGAATCGGGGAAAGCAATAAAACTAATGAAATGTTTGTGACAATTAACCGTAAGTTTCTTACTGCTTATAAATACATATTCAACGTAAAATAAAAATAAATTCATGAACCGTTCACAAAGACATTTAGTCGAAAACATATTTCATTTTGTATAAGCTGTTTTTTTAAACTAACACCATGAAGTCTACCAAACTTCAACGTTTATGTATTTAAAAAATAAATATAACGTATTGGTTACACATTTGTTGACACTTATAAATAGTTTGCACATTAGTGATTATTTAACTACACATTTTCTGACACTTATTAACTGTTTACCCATCAGTGATCAAACAACAAGTACAAAGAAGAATAGGATTTTCCTGCCAAATAATGTTTATTTTTCTGTAAAATATCCTTCTGTGAATTTGATCAGAATATAATGTTTGTACCTGGAATCGATATTTATGGATTAAAGGATATGTGAGGTCAATATCAACGAGACAGCCAGTTTGCTACAAAGAAGAACAATAATACTCAAGGTTAACCAAAGGTTCCACAAAATAGCCAAGAGTATTTACGATATGAAAAACTCTTATTCATGCAGAGTCGTAAAATGATGTTCATGGAGAAGAGGCATCAACATTATCTAAATAGAAGTCATGCCTCAAGTTTGTTTTAATATTCTCAGCTAAACCTCGTATGTTAACTGCGCCTTAACTGATACCGCTTGGCTTTTGCAAATTTAATCAAAACATTTTATTCTGATTACATCTTGCTTTATTATGTGTTTTCGTCGTATTATTTGGGTTGAATATTGAATATTGATTGATCAAGATATATATTCTTTCAGAGGAGCGCACAAATGTTCTATTTTATAGTATATTGACCGCATCTGCTTCAGTGATTTTGTTGTTGATTATTGTGTTTACTGCGTGTGCTTATAAAAGACGTATGAGCAGTAATGTCAAGATTAATCACAGTTCTACTCAGACTTACAATATAGAAGCAGGTCAATATGATGAAATTGACGAGTATCAAATGGTACATCGTCATGATGTAATAACTGCTGCTAGATATGACATACAAGAAACAAATATTGACAGCGATTACGAACAACCAGTGGATTCCTTGAGTACAGGCAGAAGCGTTAACGACCAGCAGAATTTGTCGTCTACAAACAGTGAAATCAGTGAAAATGACATTGATGAAAATCATACGTTTACAAAGGACGTCATTGTTAATTCATATGAACAGTTAACTGTTGATCCAGAACCCCCTTTACCATACGACGCACTTAATCATTGATTTTATGTTTAACATTTAGTTTATTGAGATGTCGTCAATTTTGATATTATCAAGTTTTGCGTTCATGTTTTTTATGATTCCATTTTGATAGTTTTCATGATGCCTTTTAAAATATTCTGGGTGTTTTTTCTGTTTGTCCAAAATAATGGTAAAAAATTACAAGATTTTTTAAAACCAATGAATTTCATTCGTGCGACAAGCGTGGTTGCAGGGGGTTCTAATATGCCCCTTATGTATAAATTATGAGCAAATGATAAACAAATTACTTCATAAAAACAGTATAGTTGGTGGTTTACGTAATATAGATATTTTCAATTCTTTTTTTATTGAACTTGTTGAGATAGTTGAATGTAAATAAACTAGCGTCTATTGCGTTTTTGCATATTTTCCATTAATGTTTGTTGATATCTATGATGAAAAAAATATATAATTCAGGAATATGTTTTGAAATAAATCTAAAGGGTTAAAAATAGGACCAAAAAATCTGATATTTGGTATTTATGATAACATGTGGAAAACAGATACAGTATACTTACAAGAAAGTAAATCCACACAATTGTAGATTGAGGAAATATTAGTTTCAGATTGTACTTTAATTGAATATTTTCAGTTGATTTGTCTTGTTGATAACAACTTTAATGATAAAGACATTTTCCATTTGTTTATATTTAACTAATTGTATTGGCATGTACAGCGTTACCTCTATGAAATCATTAAAGACATAAGAAACAGTCGTGGAACAGTACTTTAAATTTACTAGTGTATTTTACCTTGCTTGCATCAGGAGTAGGGGGTATTGGGACATTATTTTGGCATCCCTGTTGATTTCCGGAGTTCACAAATAAACCACCTGACGTCCTATATCTAAACTACATCAGGATCTGCGTTCCATTTACTAAGAAAACCTAACTACCAGTCTTCGGGAATATGCCGATATTATGTTGATTGCAATACACCTAAACATTTATTGCAGTAAGCTACTGGACAGGGATAAATTAAAAATCATCTGTGTTATATAGAAGCTTAGATGAACTTCATCAAAATGGCTGACACAAATGTATTTGTGATTTTAAGACTGATGTCCCGTAACCGTGGTCTACCAAATAAAGGATCATCTCCATTTCAAATCATGTTATAATATTTTTAGCATAACACAAATAGAAAACCCATTCATTTGTTTATAAATATTTCAAGGTATTCTTCTGATCAAATCGTAACCAAAAACAGAAATAAAGTCTTTTCGATTTTAGATTTTTGAAAATGCATTTTTCTCACCAAAATGAAATATCATCAATCTGAATGTCACGACCTTCAGTTTGCTTTTGGATCATTATTTTTTTTCACTTTTGACAACTTTTAAAAATAACATCTTGTCCAAGCAAAAGTAAACGTGAAGGTTTAAGTTAATTCCATTTGCTTCAACGGAAGACAACACGATTACCGTGAATCTAGATAAGAAGATGTAAACGGCCATTACAATTACAAACATTAGAACATGCTAGAAGAACGCTTTCTTCAATCACAAAATTACAAACAAACAAGTGAGAGTCAGTTACACGGAGCATTGGAAGAAAAACAATTAGGTGACATCAATGCTCGGAAGGGAAAGCAGTTCCACGACTGGTTGCTAGTGGCGTTCTATTATTATTAATTTTTTATAACTTTTTAGTACTTTACAACAATTGCGTCTTTCCCTGATATTTATTTCTGTGTTACAGTTTACTTGTTAAATAATTGCTTCTCATTACAATTCATAAGTGAATATGTGATGTGGGTTCACTGTTGATGCTACATATCATTCATGAACTAAAAACTTAAAAGGCACAAAATGAAAATGAATGTTATAAATATAATGTTTCATTTCCTTTTCGAAACAGATCATTAAAACATATATTTACATAAAAATAATTTGTTCCGTATATTTTAAAGTTCAATATGATCCGTTGATTTGAAATACATCCTGTCCAGTGGTTATAAATAAAAACAAATTTTACACGTCAAGTTTGTTATATAGAAAATACTATGAGTTAAAATGAAAATTTTCTTAGGTATCTGTGTATTTTCCTTGATGAATTTTATTATGGTTGGAACAGAGCTAAATCGTAAGTTTTAGATACAAGTTTTGTTAAGTATGAACCTTTCTCTTAAAAATATAACACAAACGGTTTTCCGGCAATCCTTGTCGTTGTCGATCTATATCAAGTAATAACATTTAAGCATTTGGTTACACGATACGTTAACTTGAATATAATTCTTAACTTTGCCATCTTCTTTGTCATGTCAAATTTATAATGAAAATTTAGTTATATAAAATATGTTCCCTAAATATTGCAATGATAATGGATTCGTGTTTTATGTCCTGTTGCAAATTCATTATAGTACACATATATTCCTGATAAGGACATTTTACTTGGACATGAAAATAAATCTTGCCTGGAACTAGGTAAACACGCTGATCTTTAGACCGGTCGTCTTACCAGAACCCCCGCAAAATAAGTCAACACGAGACTACCTAGGTGGTAATTAAGGACAAATGGAATTCACATTATTAGCTAAAGGGATTTATTAAATACCTTGGTGGTGAGTAGTGGCAATGAAAATTCCTTATTATTAGATATTTCCAGGTGGTCTTGACATATTTTAATAATTGATGGTTTCACACTTTTATATAGATAATAAATAGCATTAACAATATTTACATATTAATCAACAAGAAAGGCGGGAAACACCAAAGGGATAATCGATCTCTTTGTCAAATACATAATGGCAACAACAACAATAAAAAATGGCATATAAAACATAACATGCAAATTTAGAAAATATCGAGCAAAAACGAATTACTTGAAAACTCCAAGGTGATTGAAGGTGCTACAGAAGGGTGGGCAGATCATACTCTACATGTGGCACCCACCATTGCCATTTTGATCTAAATTTTGATCTGATTGTTCAGATTTGTAGGTTGAAGTTTAGATTAAAATTACCGTTTTAGAATTAAAGTGTTTGTAAGTAAACCGACTAGTCTTATTCGGTAATGTAACATTTGAGGAAAGGAAAACGGAATTGAGGTTACGACATCTGGATCATATCCGTCATTTGTGAAACAGGTATTCCAATACGGTAAACCAATTCATGATGGCGGCCGTAAACTTTTCAAAGGATAACTTTCACATTGTTTGAATTCATTTGTTTTATAAAAATAGGAAGAAGTGGTATGAGTGCCAATGAGACAACTCTCCACAAGAGACCAAAATGACACAGAAATTACCAACTAAAGGTCACAGTACGGCCTTCAACAACAGCAAGCTGTAAAAATCCCAAAAATTACAAGTGTAAAACAATTGAAACAGGAAAATCAACGGTCTTATCTATATGAAAACGAGAAACGAGAACTGAACAACAAGTTCCTGACTTATGACAGGTGCAAACAAATGTAGCGGGTTAAACTAGTTTGTTGGCGCCAAACCAACCCCTTAACCCGGGACAGTTGTGTAACTGCACAACATAAGAACAAACTATGCAAATCAATTAACGACAAACAAATACGAGACACAGCACAAAACGACAACCACTAAATTACAGGCTCCTGACTTGGGACAGGCCCATATAGAATGTGGCGGGGTTATACCTTTATTTAAGCAGCAACTCCGTATCAAGGAAATCATGATAAGAAAAGTAGGCATATGAATATCGTATCAAGTGGGAGATGTATACTCAAAATACAGGTGCTACTACATTGTTGCTAAATAGAAATGAAAAGTTTATAATTAAGTTAAAAATTTAACACTTTAATATTTTAGATAAAGGTATATATAGGTATTTTGAAAAAATTGTAAAACGTATCGAACCAACTCCAAAACCCATACCAAATACAGACGTAGCTCTGAAAATGAAAATGTGAACAATCAAAACTAGAAACCTAACTCTTTGTTTTCTTTACAAAATAACTAACGAAACAGAAATATGATACAGAGCAAACATAGCAGAACATAGAATGTTGTGTGGTAAGATATGTTTACGGGGACCCAACCCTCCCCTTAACCTGGGACAGTGATGTGATAGTTGGGATGAAATGAATATTCAGCCTCAGAATATAAAATGCAGGTTGTTATTGTATTCAGAATCGACCAGTTTTTATCGTGCGGCTATTCTGGTAAATATGCATAGAAAGACGTGAAAGTGAATGGTTTGCACTTTTAAATATTTCACCCCAAATAGTTTCCCTATCTAAGCAAAACAATCATATTTTTGATGTAAAGCTCGTTTGTGTCCTGGTCGGCATAACGACATTCTAATTGTATATCAATGTTTATCCAAATAATGATTTTTTATCTAACATATTTAATATAGACAATTGTAGTTTCCAAAGAAACCACAGTGACTTCTGTTCATATAACAACTGTTTAGAGAAGTACCGCGATGGTAACGGCAACCCGTCAACAAAACGTAAGAATGAATTTAACGAATCAAACACAACACAAATCTTAAAACACTGTTTACACTTAAAAAAGAAAGACTGTTAGAAACTGTTATTCTTTTTTTAATTTTTCATTTCCATTATGACATTTCGCACTTTAAAAGTAGCGAAATCTAAAACTGATTGCATTTGGGTTTTTTTTCAAGTCAGAATTTGGATTCTATATAGGTTGGAAAACAGGCTATAAAGTAGTATTTAGGGTATAAATAGTAGAACTTAAATAAAATTGCTTACAGAAACTAATGATATAGATAACAAATTATAACCAATTAGTATCACAATCAACCTAGAAATTCTCCCTCTTCTTAAAAAAAACAACGTGTAATTATAAAGAATTTCTAACACCTGTATGTATGTTTCTTAAGAGGCAAAACATATCAAAATGACATTCAAAATACATACGTTGAGTTAAGCTGACAACCCCATGACAACAAAAATAATAACGACAAACAGCGAAACAACAAATAAGTGTACAAAGGAACTAAAGACTGAGCAACACGAACTCTATATAAAACTGTGGATGATATCAGGTGCTCCTGAAGTAAGCTGAAAGTTACGTATGCATTGATTATAACATTGTGAATTTACTACAGTGATCAACAATCCAATGATCAAAGATACTACAGGTCTGATCAAGAATACTACACTTGTGATCAACAATAAAGGTGTGATAAAAGGTAATTTAAAGTATTGCCTTTTTAATTTATATTCTATTATTTTGAAAATATAAATTGCATGCTGAAATTTGTTTATTTTCTAAATCGTCAACATTCTGATGCGCTTCCAATAACTTTTCCAAATGTTGGACACCGTGTGTTATAGGCACGTGTTATACATGGATATTTCTTTGCATAGCTTTTAAGCAAAAGTGACAAAATCATTGCTTGTAAAATATAACAATATTTTTAAGGTTTTAAAATGTAATTTCTATTATCAAGAGTGTACCATAGTCCGTTATCCCTGTATTACGTTGACGTTGTAGTTGAATTTAGTTTATGAAGAATTTTGGGTTTAGCAGATTTTGCGTTTCTCTAAAACATGGAAATGTCATAGTGCGAGGGGACATTGTGTCATAAGTACCTGTACCTTTGTTGTTTTGATTTTCTTTTTGATTTTTTTTTTTTGTCGCGTTATATAAGATTAAATAAAAAAAGACATCTATGTTTTGTCCAGAATGAAATCAGTTCTAAAAAGGCATAGAAGGATCGCAGAAATGTGTATGCAAGAGGTGAACATTATCAATGAAAATACAAAATACAAAAAAAACATACTGGTTAAGTCTATGGAAAGCCAACGGGGTCAAAATTCTTAATTCGTAAATTGTCAATTTGTAACTTGTATCTTTGTAATTTCAAAATTCTTAATTCGTTAATTGTCAATTTGTAACTTGTATCTTTGTAATTTCAAAATTCCTAATTTGTAAATTGTCAATTTGTAACTTGTAACTGTGCGATTTCAAAATTCTTTATCGGTAAATTGTCAATTTGTATATTGATGTTTTGTAACTTGTAACTTGTCGATTCGTGAAATGTCGATGTGTTAAATGTCATTGTTGTATTATGCTAACGATCATTATGACTACAGATGGCGCTCGGTTTCTTCTTCGGTGTATAAGCCTCCTGTAAGTACGAGCACCTCCATATGGAATATATACCTAAGTAATTTAAATCAATTATGTACAGCACATACATATAAAAGAAAAAACAAATAGACAAATACATTGTTTGTTTTATATGGCATGTATACTCGGTTTTATATAGAGGTGACCTCGAATAAACATGTATGTTTACTGTACTGGTCATCAAACCTGGGAGGGGTGTGTCACTTCCTGTATTAAGGTATATTCAGATGTGTCGCTGGAATGGGCTTCCTTATCAACTTCGCAAATATATTACTGTCACTTGGCAGGAAATTTCTTCTTAATATTTGACCGGGACTAAATTAGACTAAATACATGAAATATAAGACGGATCTGGAAAATTCATACTATTATTGTTCTGGGCCGCAAATTTTGGACCGTAAATGTATGATGGGAGAAAAGGGTTGACACCCATTATTCCTTAATATTATAATCTCAATATTAAAATTTCAGAAAATAATGTAATTATCTAATGATTTTTTAATACAAGAAGCAAATGGACGAACACTCTTTATTTATTTGGCTCTGGAATAATGAAGATAAAAAAAATGTTTTATATCATATTTGTACTCTGCGAAACAAATTGAATGAAGTATTATTTTAAATGAGTCACTTAGTTAATGTATACTATATATTAAAACTGTATTGAATATGCAATATTTTGTAATAAAATCTAAAGGAACCAGAAAACTAAACGAAGACCTAAAATGAACAACCTATATTTCCAACGTAGACAAGAATGCAAACTCAACACTAGGATTCCTGATTAGAAATTTGAGATATTGCCCATCAGAATGCAAGGAAACCACATATATTTCACTGGTCAGGTCAATAATGGGGTATGGTCAATAGTATGGGACCCCTACACATCTACGAACACAAGCTTGAAAGAATACAGCGACAACCTGCGAGATTTATAACAGGAGACTACAAATCCAGAGAAGATGGTTGCGTCTCAAACACGCTCACCAAACTGAAACTACAAGACAAACAGATAAGACGTTCATGCCAGAAGCTAATATTTCTGTACGAGGTAGTTGAGGGGCTGGTTTCTGCTATCGAACCAGACAATTTAATAAAAAAGCTCGTCCAAAAAGAACAATTGCTGCCAAGGGATTTAACAATTGTCAGTCAAGAAATGTTGTGAAAAAACAGGTCAAGAACTACACAGTATTTTGAGATCTCAACGAGCAAAATACCACAATATTCTAACTCATTTTTTGTAAAAACAGTAATCGAGTGGAACAACCTTGAAGACACTGTAGTGCGCACACCAAACGTTGACAGTCGTTCAGAAACTGCTCTCGTGCACCGTCAATACATCGATCGTCACGGCGCTCTCTCTACCATTGTATTAAAGCCAGTATTGGTATCCACAACGTTTTCCTACAGATACATGCAGATACAGATCTAGACAGATCATGGTACTAGATCGAAATATACTAAGAGCTGTCCCCTCTGGATATTTTGTCAATGACCATGATCGTAAAACTATGAAACTGTTTCTTTTTTACTACACACGTCACCTACACCCACTTTTAACCAAAGTGACACCCTACACCTTTGACTTATCAGAGAGAAGATCTCACCATCTCGCCACTTTGCATGACAGAAGCAATTATCTCCAATATGCTTACCCTAATTTTATTTCTCCATGAAAATCTTTGCACATGATTTGGGGTTTGGCCCGGGGGAGGGGGTATGTCTTGTGTCATTTTGGAGAGTAAAATGGTAGCCTGTGATCCTGGCTCACTGCTCGACAGAAGAGCCAGGCGGAATACAACATGGTTTCGTCAATTGGATATTAGGATGATGCTTCGTGGGATAGCGTCATTTCTTGACATATGGCGGGAAGTATTTATATTGTTACGAATTCATTGCAAATTATTTTTAATTTCATATGAAATGCAAATTTCGAAAAATTTAGCCTTATTGATTTACATCGTGAATCAACTCGGTTAATTAACGATCCGATCGACGAAATATTAGATTTGGTCAGGTTGCCGGGCTATAAGGAGATTTTTCGTTCATTTTAATTTACAACCAAAAAGACCAAAATATTCCCGATTCCCTCTCAACTGCTGCTTAACGCCCAGTACTCCCGTTATGCCATGGGTTCATAACGGGAGTACTGGGCGTTAAGCAGCAGTTGAGAGGGAATCGGGAATATTTTGGTCTTTTTGGTTGTAAATTATAATGAACGAAAAATCAGGGAGCGGCAATTCTAAAGCTTCTTGACCAGAAAAGTTCAGTAGGCATGTATATTAATATATATATATATACCTGTCAGCCCTTTCTCCTCCTGTCAGAATAAAATGGTCCGATAATAGCATTTTAGGATTAATAGAAATCGTTTTACTAGTACCTGGGTTTTCCAGTAATGATGTAGCCTTTTATAGCCGACTATATGGTATTTGGTTTTCTCATTGTTGAAGGCCGTAAGTTGCCTATACTTGCTTACATCGACTTTATTTGAACTTTGATGGATGGTTAAGACAATTGGCAATCATACGGTTTATTACTACATCTCCTTATAGTATTTACCTGAATAATTCAGTCGTTATATTTCCCTGACCAACGACTAATTCATTAACCTCGCAATTGGGAGAGATCGATTACGTGGAGGGACTGAACTATTCGGGATGTATTTTTATATAGTTTCCGTTCTCGAACGAAACGCCACCTGTCGTCTTCAGTAAACAAAAAAAAAACTGGGATCCTGTAAACATGCTATTTTTATTGGTTTTGCTTTCTTTTAGACGGATTTGCTGTACATAATTGATTTAAATTACTGGGTTTATACTCCATATGAAGGTGCTCCTACTTATAGGAGGCTTATACGCCGAAGAAGAAACCGAGCGCCATCTGTAGTCATAATGATCGTTAGCATAATACAACAATGACATTTAACACATCGACATTTCACACATCGACATTTCACGAATCGACAAGTTACAAGTTACAAAACATCAATATACAAATTGACAATTTACCAATAAAGAATTTTGAAATCACACAGTTACAAGTTACAAATTGACAATTTACAAATTAAGAATTTTGAAATTACAAAGATACAAGTTACAAGTTGACAATTTACGAATTAAGAATTTTGAAATTACAAAGATACAAGTTACAAATTGACAATTTACGAATTAAGAATTTTGACTCCGCTATAAAACCAGGTTCAATCCACCATTTTCTACATTTGAAAATGCCTGTACCAAGTCAGGAATATGACAGTTGTTGTCCATTCGTTTGATGTGTTTTGTCATTTGATTTTGCCATGTGATTAGGGACTTTCCGATTGAATTTACCTCGGAGTTCAGTATTTTTGTGATTTTACTTTTGGCTTTCCATATAAGTCACCCCCAGTTTTTCGTGGGGTTCTTCTTGCTCAACCTTTAGTTTTCTGAGTTGTGTTTTATGTGCTGTTGTCTGTCTGTTGGTCTGTTTATTTTTTAGCCATGACACTGTCAGTTTATTTTCGACTTATGAGTTTGAATGTCCCTTTGGTATCTTTCGACTCTCTTTTATCAAATAGCCCGTTTCTAAGTATGTCGGCGTTTCTTTTTGTTGCAGTTCAGTGTTTATGTTGTTCCGTTGTTTTCCTCTCATAGTTCATGTGTTTCACTCGGTTTTAGTTTGTAAGCCGGATTTGTTTTCTCTTAATCGATTTATAATTTGAACAGCGGTATACTACTGTTGCCTTTATTTATTAAGAAGCATATTACCGGTATCATTGTCACTGAACTAAACCCCGACAGGTAACCAAACCAATGTATGAGTGCAACACATTCCTGATTTTCAAACACTTTTAATAACAATTATACCAGTTTCATGTAAGTACCAAAGTACTAAGAAGTAAATAGGTATACCAGTGTTTTGCATTTATAATGAAATTTTTGGGTATTTTCCAAATTAACGAATTTCCAAACTTTTCAGTTGAAAATATCAATAACTTTATGACATATAAAATCGAATTTCGAAATGAGTTATCGAACACATTTTGGTTCCAACGAATACAGTGTTACCTTTTCTACTCTTTCAGGTGCCTCACGTAGTCTTCATGGAATACAGTCTGTACTATCAATTATATTAACCTTGGCGATTCTTTCTGGAATATTATCATAGGGCAGAAATGTCAAAAAAATATTTTTAACAGATATTCAAATGGAATAACCTATCATGTGATGTATTGTCTACAGCAGATGTTAATCATGTTAACAGTGTGATAAAGGCTATCTAAATGTAATAATGTACCTTAATTTGATTGTCTATTGTAAATTATTGTTATTATTGTGCAAAATTATCTAATTTTAACACTGACGCATTCTAATTAGACTAATTAGTTTAGTTAGACTAAAAGTACTTCTTTAAGACACAACTACCTACCATATCAATATCCTCTATCATTTGTTTCTTCGGGAATTTCATGTGTCTACATATTGCACATGAACATTAACATGGAATTTACCTATTTTAGGTAACATTGCGCCTATCTAGGAGTAAGTAATCTATCATGATAAGCATGCATTTCTTAAAGAAAAAGTTTCCCGAGGGTAAAATGTATATAGTGTTCCTTTGCTTTTTGTGTGTGTTTTTTTTTGCTGTGCATGACTTTGTATTGATTTTGTGTGATGGAAGGATACCCCTGACCCATATCATTTGTTTTTCGGTTCAAGTTTTTATCTAATATGTATTATTGATCACTCAAATCATATCAATAAACTTATACTAGAATTTATATCAAAACGTGAAGGTAGGATGAAAATAATAATGAGAAGTAAATATAACAAGACCATGAAGAACGACTTGGATGGAGAGTTGTCTCATTGGCACTCATACCACATCTTCTTATATCTATGGTAAAAAAAAACGTAAAATACATACAAATATACAAACCATTAATATTAAAGAAAATGACCAAAAAATGATCGCATTGTAAACAGTCCTTGCGCTATCAATTTAACTCGTCGTGTTGTTGTCCAGGAGTAAACATCAAGATCAAGTAATAAGTAATAATCGGTAATAGTTACTCAAAATTAAGAAATTATTGCTTGCATTTATTATTGCAATTTTTGAAGAGTGGACAAAAATTTGAGATTAATTAATTCGATTTCAGGAATATTTTTATACAGAAACATGTATGAGATATCAGAATGCGAGTTCTTATCATTGCGATACGCCCCTATTCGCATTATATAATCAAAGTACTGGAGAACTGAACATCGGATGACCGCAAATTCTGGTGGATGGTCTCAGAAAAAAATACCTGAAAGTTAGGTTAAGTTATATAGATATGTTGTTTTCTGAGACAATTTTCTGTGTGGATGATGAATAAATGACAGGGAATTCAACCTCACCGTTATGATTATTATATTGTAGTGATATAATCATTTGTTATCAGTACAATCTGGTTTTTTGTTATATTTTATTTTAATATTTGTATAACTGTTATATATATAGCAGATCATCTCTCGAGATATTCTTCCGCATCCGTTAATACAAACTTTCGGTTTTCATGATTTGTTACTGATATATAAAATTTCTCACGACAAAACATTCTTATATCATTTATCTATGTTCTTAAAAAATATTTTCATGAGTATTCATTGAAGAAATGAATTTATAACAAGCGATAAGGAATGTTATTTTGCACTCGATAATATCCGCGTATTTATACGAAATACGTTTGGTTGTCTGTCAAAAGGGCAAGAAATTTCTGCGGCAATTAAACACCGGTATGACCTCTCAAGGTCACATCCGATGTAAAAACCTCGCAATCATTTCTGAATTTACAGTAATTTACCAAGACAAACTTATCTATGGCCGCCTTTTGCAATCTGATACTCTGTACCAAAATACCAAGACTAATTATAAAGGCGTTAAAACTGCTCCTGCATCGATTATAAAATTCAACTGCAATTAGACAATAATGTAAACTCTGGTAGCGAGTTCTGTTGAAAATCTTTGTATTTTGTTTAAACATCAACCGTAATACGTCAAACAAATGTTTCTATAGAAAGAAATTATAATGCCAACAGTAGTCTTATCAATCGTTGTATGGTCACATTACGAACTGGTATATTGGTATTTCATGAATTAGTGTGCATGTATTAACTTCATATGATCGTCTTTTATAATAAGTTAGGTCATTTAAAATAAAAATAAAAACACGGGAAAATGAACAAAGGATCATTTAGAAGTCTCACAACGCCATGGCAAAATACATAGACAACAACAGGACAATTATATTCACAAAACACTACACAAAAAAAAAACTACAGTTTTACACGTTAAGGGGCCTCGATGGCCTAATTAGTCGAACTACTGAATCGCTAGCCAGTAAACGCCGAGGTTGTAAGTTCGAAATCCGCACGTGGCAGGTGCGCTCGACTCCAATCTTAATTGACTAGGGTTGTCAGTTTTCCTACCGAAGGTCGGTGGTTCTCTCTGGGTAATCCGGCTTCCTCCGCCACAAAATAGCACAATAGTTTTGAAAGTGGCGTTAAAAACCAAACAATCAATCAATTAATCTTACAAGGTAATGTGACAATAGAGGAAAAAAGGTCGGTACTGTTGTTAGAATTGGAAGATATTCGTTATCATCTGTGTCACTGGTATTCCATAACGGTCAATTATTGATGGCATCTGTAAACACTTTGAAGGGATGACTCTAACTTTACCACGTGCAATCCAATAGCTTACTTGTAAGCAGCAACTCTCTATCAAGAAAATCATTATAGGAGGAAATAAATACACATATTTTATTTGCTAATCAATGCGCCAAAAATGATCGAAAATGAGTTCTAGAATAACGTATAATTAATTAATGTATGCTTCATATGCATGCGCTGCTTAGTAAGTAATTTCATAGCAATATGAAAATTGAAATATGTTATAAACCTATAAACTCCACAAACGTCAGGGAAAAGCTTCATCAAGTTATATTAATTTAATTCAATCTCTATTCAAGAAAAAAAAAATGAAATGTTACTTACGATTGAGATATTACTTTTACATATTAAATGTATTCATTTTACAAAAAATGATGCCGTCACCTCAGTATCAGAACGGATTATGTCCTGGCCAGTAAAACATAATAGATCTTCATATATGCGTTGGGAACTTTTTTAGAGTAAGTCACGTCAAATCAACATTTTGATGACAGATTTGCATGTTTTTACACATGCACAGATTATATGGGTCGATACATGTGAAATGAATTTTAAAGCTTGAGATATGGTCTCATGCTCTTCTGTATTTTTAAACTTATTGTGTATTTATTTTTGAGATAACTTCTCTTATGTGTGCCACACCATTCTTTCAATTTTAGGCCAGTTGGAGTACTAAAACTTTAATAAGGCGCCCACCACCTATTCTTGGCCCTCGTTCGTATCCACATTAATTGTTTTACATACACACATTTTAGGGGGCGGGATCAATATACCGGTATTTATACATCAGACCGTACTGGTTACCAAAATTGTGGATACACCAAACCCGGTTCTTCATAGCTGAGAAACAGGCGATATATGCCCTCAATTTTAGGATTGATTCACACAATCTGAACTATTCAAAATTATCCGCCAATACGTGTTCTACAAGTATAACCAGTCTTTTACCTTTCATCTGGTACCTTAAAATACAAATTATATTCTACATAGTTTAATATTTACTCCTAGGCGTAGGAACCATTTTGTTTTAAATATGTACTATGTTCTTTTTTGACCAGCCCAATGTGGTGGTGTTTAATACATCTTACAAAGTCTATACAAATTATTTTTGCAAAGATTTACGCTCAAGCCGGTGCTAGCAAGTTTTAAACTTGCAATGAGTTGACAGTCTTTTTTTTTTTTGCTCCGTGTTGAAGGCCTTGCTGTGACTATCAGATGAAGAACAGCAATACAAGCGCTGTGTGTTCCTTTGCTTCTTGTGTGTTTATTGCTGTGCATGTACTAATTTTGTGTCATTGATGGATACTTCTTATCCTTTGTTTTTCTATTAAATATAGTCCTAATATGTCAAAGAGTACATTCTCATACCACGTCTGAAGTAAGATGCAAACATGTAATTCAAATTTGTTTATAAATATTTATAATCAAGAATAACAGAACAAAACGTTTTATTTTGTTTTTTTTTTAGTTTAAACGTTTATAAACATACCCACTTCAATAATTGACCAACATGCTTATCTTTTTCGTTGTAATACTAAGTCAATATACGCCGATTTAAAATCATGTTTGCACTTGTATATCTTGACATCTGCCTCTTCAAAATGTACAATAGTCAACTGTCATGTGACGGTATTACTTTGTTGTTCTAGAAATTTTGACTTGAACAAAATATGTTACCCTGAACTCTGTTCATGTTGTACCGTCTATAATATTTGTTTATCAAGATACCATTAACAAAATATTAGCAAATGTAATTATAAATGAAAGGATTTCATTAAAAATTGTATATTTCATACCGTAACGATTGGTCCAAACGTTACGTTGTTTTGGGATATACATGATACAATTCTGCATATTTTGTTCAAAATGAGACAAAAAATAAAACATGCTTCACCAAAGAAAACGTGATGGAGTTTCTAATTGACAACATATTTAATTTGTTGAATTTGGAGGTAGATTTTCCAGCAGGTTGTCGTCATTCATATGGGAACAAACTATGCACCTTTTCTGGCACACCTTTTTTATTTGCATATGAGTCTGAATTCCTTCAGATACGTGTAAAAAAAGGAAGGTCAACGTTGCTAGATCATTTAGGTTCACATACATGTCTATTAATGATGTTTTTTCTATTAACAATTTTCTGATTGGGTCCCATTAATAAATTCCCTTGAACTATATATTAAAAATACCACAGATAGATTCTGTCGCCTCATTTGTAGAAATTAACCTCGAATTTGACTACAGCGGTCATCTCAGTACCATACTATATGACAATCAAAAACGATATTAATTTTAGTTTTATGCCTTTTTCAGCAATATGCCAACTTCATCCGTGTATGAGGATACATTTCTCAACTCATACGATATTCATAGCTTACAGACTTTGTAAAACGTCATCGGTGTCGGCGCAAAAACTTAGTGAGCCAGGGTTTTGTCAAAGAGCGTCTTGTCCCTTTCCTCAAACAGTTCCCCAGACCTAACAAGACCTACAGTTGGGTGCAGACAAAGCATTACATAAAGTAAACGCAAGTTAACGCCGCGTGCACATATGTCGTTAGTTAACTTCAATTTTCGCGTTTACTAGTAAACGCGCGTATACTATAATTACGTTAACGCGGTCAAAATGGAAATTTCTAATGTCTACCCGAGAAAACGGGCGTTTACTCTGTGTCCGTTTAGTCAGTAGTAAACGGGCGTTTACTTCAGATTTCACAAGTTTATTTGTACGTGCACTTAAAAGTAAACGGGCGTTTACTACAGATTTCACAAGTGTATATTTACGTGCACTTGAAAGTAAATGCGCGTTTACTTTTCGCGTTAACTAATTGTGTACATTAAGAAATAAACTTCGTGTTCATTTGTACATTTATTTTATTAAAACGACTTTTATCAAAATATTTTTCGTATATGTATTTCAAACCAG